GGGCTTCACTGCACTGTACTGTGCTTTTACCCTGATCTCATTGTGCTGTACTGCACTGTACTGTACTATGCTTTTACCCTGATCTCACTGGGCTGCCCTGTACTGTGCTTTTACCCCGATCTCACTGGGCTTCACTGCACTGTACTGTGCTTTTACCCCGATCTCACTGGGCTTTACAAAGGACAAGATTTCTGTGACAAGTTATTCAGTGCAGGGATGAGTCAGCAAACAGCTGCCCCACGGCCCCTTTGCAAAGCTAACGAACAGGAATGATAAGCAAATGTTTTCATAATACTGTAGGATTTAATGAGCTGTGTTACTGAAGCGGATACCCTGGTTTCAAATTCAACTTCTGAAAGAGCTTTATTGGCATGAGAAGAATGACGTGTTACCAAAGCAGACACAATCAACACAATATTTGCATACACCACATAAAACATTATTGTGAGAGAGGGTTGGGGTTTTCTTTAACGCTTCTAGGATCAATTGACGGAAAAGTAGCTCCTCTCCTTCACCTTTTGTTCCTGTTCTCGTGTTTGTGTTTATGTTAAACACTGAGATTGCAGGTCTGTACTCGACATAATTAATCAGAAACTCGCCTCTCCACAAAATCACTCTCTCCCTGCAGGGACCGCGGAGGATGACAAATACCAGATGTCGAAATATCTTTCACAACAAGCGCATTTCCTGTGGAAAAATACAAAAGATCTCGATTAAAAACACTCAAACCGCCCCAGACTGTCCCTTTAAACAATTCTGTGTGGCGTCACCGATTTCGGCCCGCCCCCTCAGATCATTCTAGCCTGGTGTGAAAGGCGGGATCTCTCTGTTGCCTTTGCTAGATTCCGAATCTCTATTGGCCAAAAGAAAGGTACGTCCAATCTTTGTCATCACTGATTGGACAGAGGCACCGCCCATCATTTTAACACGTTTTTAATCCGTTTTGTAATCAAAGAGTTCGGTTGACGCGCGGGCCTCCGCTCCAGACTGCCATCTTGTTTCAAGGGAGGGTTTTCGCTGTGTGTTTTTTTTAAAAAAACAAAAACAAGAGGAAAAAAAGTATCTTTCGAAAAATAAGAAAAAAACCGACAACCCGTGTCTCACGCTGTCCCACACCGTGCGGAGGCGCCGAGGGCTGGATGTTTTCTAACGTTCATGGCCTCGACTTCGGCATCAGGTACGAAGCCCGTCGATTGCGTGCGGCCCCTGGGCGAGTGTGTGTCCCGGGGGTGTCAGAACAGGCCTGCCAGCCCTGAGCCCTCACGGGGCAGAGCCGGGGGCTCCGGGGGTCACCGGGCGGGGTTTTTTTTTGGGGAGGGGGGTCTTTCCGCTGGAGCCCGGCTGTCCGCCACAGCCTGGACAGCCCGGTCACTCCCGAGCCCACAGGGACGTCTGGCGAACCGGAGGGAGGAAACCTCTCTCTCCTGTCGCTGTCCGACTGACTGGCTGTCGCGGGAGGGTTTCGCCGAGGCGATGTCTGAAGCCGGCTGGGTGCTGGCACTGGGTGGGTGCGTGGGGAGGGGGCTCTCTGTGACTCGCGTCGCGCTGGTCCGTTCACTGGCCAGGACAGCAGCTGAAGCTAAAAGGAAAAGCGCTTCAAAGTGTCAGAGAAGTAGCCTTGATGATGATTCCCGACTGACAGCACTGTAAAACCTAGAGTGGATCAGACTGCTGCGCACTGGGAGTCTAACTGACAGCACTG